ATTTCTATATTTTAATTTTAATAATATTTTAAGTATATTTTGTCTTTTGTCTTAAATTTTTGAATTTCTGTATTGTAATTTTAATAATTCTTTATTTCTACTATTTATTAATTTTTTTCTTTTTTAATGTTTTATAATATTATTGAAATCTTATAATTTTAATCTCTATAATTTTATCTTACTTTTTATTTTATAAATATAATTTGGATTATTTATTTTATAATTAAATTAGTTTTTTTTAAATTTTTATAAATTTACATAAAAAAATATACTGAAATCCCCCATCTTTGAGGGTACCATAACAACTCTCGAATCCGCAGTTTTAACTAAAGCTCACATTTGCAAGCTAGGTTATCTACCGAATCTAACTTGTTCATTATTCATTAATTAGTTCATTCGGTCCCAATTTAGTTGAAAACACTCGGTCAATGCCATACGTAAATCAGTATTCGATTTTCGGCACAGACACATATATATAGAAGCTAAGAACTGTGCTTCAATATTTTATTTCCTTTGCTTCAATTTCAACTTGGAACTGTTTTTGCCTCATTATTTTAGAGTTGAACACGTTGATAACATGATACAGATGTGTTATTATTTCTTAAAATAAAACACTAATAAAGTAATATAATTTTATTTTTCAATAGAGAAAAGTTTAAGTGTCTAAAATAGATTTTATTTGTGATATACAGTCAAGTTTATTTATTTTATTGTTTCAACCACCTTTCTGTACATTCCTAAAAATAAAACTCGACTGTTGAAAGATTGACGCTTAACGGATTGAACGTTTATACAAACACACTTCAAGAGATGTTGTGGGGGTATAGATGGCGATGTTCTCTTCAAAAATTTGATGTGATTGTACATTTTGAATTCAAACTCAAAAAATAATCTCACTAGTTAATGCAGGTGTTTGTGTGGCGCGAGTCTTAAGAGGAATACAAAAACATGTGGATTGAAATAATGCGAAAAAGAGGAAATGCAACTATGCAAGTGTTGGCTGTACGGAATTCACTGCAGAAATAAGGTACAATTAAGGATGTAAAAAAAACACTGCAGATAAAAAATAGATATAATAAATAAATATTTAATTATAAATAATAGACATAAATATTTTTTATATGTGCATGCTAACGAATTGGATATGAATATTATAATATCTATATATGTGATTATATGTTAATATTCAATTATATAATTCTATGTTAAATTTATTTAAATTTATGGGTATAAAGTATTTTATCATTAAATTTAATTTTTAAATTGGAGAATTTTGATTTATAAAATTATGTATGATATTTGAATAATTTAAACTTTTTATTTTCAAACTATTATTTTTAAAAATATATTAAAATAAATAGAAATTATTATTATAATATTTTAATTTTTTTTATAAATAAAAATCCACGAACATCCAGATATTGAAAATATAAGAATACATGCTTAATATATAGGGTAAAAATCTATTTTCGTCCCTTATAATAATTATTTGTTTCAATTTAGTCCCACTTTTATTTTTGGTCTCAATTTGGTCCCAAATAAATTAATTAGTCTCAATTTGGTCCCTAATAAATTAATTAGTTTCAATTTGGGACTTCCGTTCAAATTATTTAAACGGAGTTAACTGTGTGGCCACGTGGATGCCACGTAGATGCATAGGTGGATGCCATTTTTTTGAAAACACCTGGAACCAGAACGGCCCGTTTTGGTTGCACTTTTAGTGTGTAAATTTTGCATCCGGAACGGCCCGTTCCAGGTGCAAAATTTACACACTAAAAGTGTAACCAGAACGGGCCGTTATGGTTCCAGACTGCTAAGCATAAACGATCAATTATTATAGTTCATGGTTGTGAATCATGGAAGGAAAAAGATCCAAGGTACAAAACATTTCAAACACTGAATTTGGTAATATTGTCAATGAAAATTGATAACTTTAATTGCTAAACAATTAGGCTATACAGTGTATTATTAAGGACAATGCAATGTATCACTAAAGACAATGATAACAGATTTTATTTCATTTCAAACTGGAGTGAACCACTTATTACCAAATTGACACTATACAGTAAAGGATGAAATGACATAGTATTTTTCCTTGAAGTCATTAACGATGTACCCTAACAACAACAACCTGTTCTTGAAGAGGTAGAATCTGAAGTAAAGGAAGAGGATACACAAGACTAACATTTCACCACAATCGTATGCAGGGACAGATCTAAATTAATCATAGTGGGGGCACTTGCCCCCACTAAAATTTTTTTCATTCTTTTTTTATATATAAAATATTAATAATTTTATAAAATATATATTATTAATTATATTTTAATTATCTTGTTATATCTAATATAATAAATACATTAATATTTTTTATATATTTTATTTTATTGTTTAATTATTTTTTATTTTATGGTAAAATTATCTTCGGTTAAAACCCTTATTTGGTCCCTTATAAGGAAGAGAGAAAAAGAAAAAGTTATTACTCTATTTATAAGAGAATTGTGTTTTATAAAAATAAATAATTTTAAAATTTTTACTAAAAAAAATATTTTTCAAAATTATTATATTTTTTTAATAAAATTAATAAAGAATATTCTATTCTCGGTCTTGGGACGGTCCGTTCTGAATCCAGAACGACCCGTTCTGGTTTCGAAACGGGCCGTTCTGGTTCTAGGTGTTTTCACAGAATTTGGCGTCCACGTGACTTCCACGTATGCATCTACGTGGCATTCACGTGACCAATAGTTAACTCCGTTTAAATAATTTGGACGGAAGTCCCAAATTGAAACTAATTGACTTATGAGGGACCAAATTAAGACCAAAAATAAAAGTGGAATTAAATTGAAACAAACAATTATTATAAGGGACCAAAATAGGTTTTTAGCCTAATATATGCTATGAAAATGAATATAGGACAAATATTTATTTGACAAAGTGAATAATAAGAAATTAGTACCCACCCATATTTGTTCCACTTGTAGACATTAGGTACAATGAATGAGATAGTTTTAGACTCAAGAATGAAAAGATGAAAATAGGAATTCAAAGAAAAGACAGTAGTTGTGGTGTGTAGATGGCTGGATGGCATGCAAATGCATGATCTCTCTTAGTTTCCGCTTGTAATTAAGTGATAATATTATCCATATATTAAAAACCAAATTTGGCGCTCCTCCATGAACTAATCCCTATATAAGTGTCAACCACAATGGCAAGAGAGACAGCAAAGAAAGTTTCGATTCCGGAGAAAAGCATGGGAGCGAAAGAACTAAGCTTTTGTTTGGTAATCCTAAACCTGGTCCTTGACGTGTGGGGCAGCCCAGATTTCATAAAGACGGCATGCGAGGTGACGCGGTACCCAGTGGGGTGCGTTCAAAGCCTCTCGAGCCAAGCGAGCAGCATAGGGCAAAGCGATCAACAGCTAGCCCTCACGGCCCTCTCCGTCAGCGCCTCAAGGACCCAATCATGCGCATCGTTCCTCAAGACATTGAGCCAAGCTGACAACGCCGTGCGAGGCTGCGTAGGGAACATAGATGGCAGCGTCGACCGTCTCACCCAATCGGTTAAGGAGCTTGAGCTTGCGGGTAAGCCCAATGAGGATTCAGCGATGCACATTAGTAATGCCCAGACTTGGGTTGGCGTTGCCATCACCGATCAAACCACGTGCCAGGACGCGCTTGATGGGCCCAACATAGATGCCCAATTGAAGGAAGCCGTTAGGCCCAGGGTTATGGATGCTTCTCAAGCCACCAGTAATGCCCTTGCGTTGATTAATCGCTTTGCCACCAAACAAGAAGCTGCACCGCCAATTGGAGCGCCATGAGCCTTCGCCATTAACTATGGGGCGTTAAATGTTTAATTGTTTTCTTCCAATAAGTGCAAATGTGGTTTCATCAACCGCAGTATTACATGCATGTTGTATTCGTTGTTGTGCAAGTGTAAATGGGCATTTTAATTTGAGTGCTCTGATTAATAAATTTGTATGGAACTTGGACATTTCATATACTGATAGAATTTATTTATTTTTTGCTTATTTCTTGTTCTGAATCATTCCTTTGTGCCTAGATTGTTTCTTCTGACTGGTCAAAAGAGCTTCTGCTGCTGTTTCGTTTTTGCCTTAGAACCAACGTTAATTAACGGGATAATGGATATAATTCAAGTAAATGAGATCGATTGGTTTTATTAACGGATTCGCCTTCTGTTATTGATTTACGTACGTCCGGGTAGGACTCATTTGTTTTGAAGTTATAAACGTATTTTTTAGAACTTTCCAAAATAATGAGCACATGTGCTTTATAGTAGGCGATCATGCATGGTGGCATGCAGTTGATCCAAATCTCAGGATATAGACAAATAGTTTAAGAGTATCTTCTTATTTCTTATACCACTCTACTATTTTTTTTTTCTTAACTAAAGATATATCTGATAACTGCCCAAACCATATTGGACCCTCTAGCTACACCACTTCAAGGCCTAAGCGTGCCAAGAAGATTTCCTCATGGGTGATGGATATGTTTCATATTACGTTAGGCCGGGCAGTCTTTTATTAAGCATTGTTGGTTATTTGTTTCAGAATAAGGGATATCTTTGTGAAAGGGAGAACCCTTTGTTTCCTTTAAATACATCTATGTCATGATTGTTTTAAATGAAATATCTTGATTAATTTTTCTTTCTAAATAATACTAGAGTAGTCAAGTCTCCTTTCTTGTTCTATTATTGGTGCTTGCTTTCATTGTCATATCTCCATGCCTCCCAAAGAGGATGTTGATCCAAAACCAATCGATGTTATTTCCATCCTTACTGTCCATATCAGTGCTCTGCAGTCTTAGATCAAACACCAAAATTTCCTTCATGATAACTATCATGAGTCACTCATGTCTGTAATAGGTATGCTCATGACTCAACTCACAAACCTAGGTATAACCATTTTCCCTAACCAACAATTACCTTCCTCTACTTTTCCATTCTCTCCACCATTATATATACAAACTTGTTGCAATACCTCCTAATCCTTTATCTTTCCCTCAATTGTCCTTTCAACAAACATTCAATCTTTTCCCCCATCGACCTAATCTTAGTTCTTCGATTATCACCCAAACTACTTTACCACACTTTGATCCTTCAGGCCTTCCACCTTTCATTTCCAATTCCCAACAACTGCCCACTAATTCTGTTCCAACCACCTTACACCCACCCAAATTATAGTTGAATCAATTTGAAGGATTATATGCTGCCACTAATTCTTCATCCTCTTTGTCCCATACCTGAGCCTCTTCCTCCCAAATCACCATTATTCCACAACCTAACCAAAACCAACATCTTCTCCTTCCACGACTTCCACCTTACCTATTTAACAACTCACTCTTGACAATTAAAAGAATGCAGGACAATTGACCTTTGTTACAATTGTGATGCTAAGTTTTTTCCTGTTCATAAATATGTCACTCCACATTTTCTATTACTACTTCATGATGAAGAATACACATTGCATGCTCACTTCCTTCACCATGGTAATAAAAGTAATAACAAACCAACTCATCAAATCTAGTAGCATACTTTGTCAATGTGGCATCCCTTTGCTTCAATTCCAAGAATTTCACCTCTCTCTGGCTTTGTACATCACCTGGGAAATACTTCTCCAGGAATGTCCTTTTGAAGTTATCCTAGCACTACAAGAAAAACTATTATTATCTACGGAATATTACCTATGAAATTTTTTCCATAAATAATGTTTAGTTATCTACGGAATTTTTTTCGTAAATAATGTTTAGTTATCTATGGAATATTACCTACGGAATTTTTCTGTAGATAATTTTTAGTTATCTACGGAATATTACCTACGAAATTTTTTTCGTAGATAATATTTAGTTATTTATGGAATATTACTTACACGAAATTTTTCTGTAGATAATTTTTAGTTACCTACGAAATATTACTTACAGAATTTTTCCTGTAGATAATGTTTAGTTATCTGCGGATAAAATCCGTAGATAAATACTTTCGTGGGTTATCTACAGAAAACTTTCCATAGATAACAACTTCGTGAGTTATCTACGAAAAACTATCCATAGATAACGTTATCTACAGATAAAATCCGTAAATAACAACTTTCATGGGTTATCTATAGAAAACTTTCCATAAATAACGTTATTTACGGATAAACTTTCCGTAGATAACAACTTTCGTGGGTTATCTATGGAAAACTTTTCATAGATAACGTTATATACGGATTTTTCGTAGATAACGTTAACTACGGATTTTTCGTAGATAACGTTATATACGAATTTTTCGTAGATAACCTTGGCGGGACGTAGGGCAAAAATTTTTATGCTCTAAGTAATGTAAAGAATATTTGATAAAAAAATAATATTATTAAAAATTGTCATTTAATTTTTTTTTTATAAATTAATGATGATAAAAAATAACATACTAATATCTGGTTTTAAATTTGATATGAAAATATTATGATATAATTAGATAAGATTTTAAATTAGTATTTTATTAATGGTTGATAATTAAAAAATAAAACAAGAATAAATACATTTTTTGAATTTTATACCTTAGCTTTAAGATGAATAAATATATTAAGTTAATTAATAATTTATTTAAAATATTAAAATTTAATTTATAAAAATAATATTTTAAAAGAGAAGGGTTATAATAACACCAGTATAACTTTTACTAAGTATTATACCGCTCAATAATTTTATATTAAATGTGAATTTTATAAATTCAACCGTTAGATTGAAAGTTTTTTACTCTTAGATCATATATACAAAATTTTATATGAATTCAAGATGATTTGATACTTCATTCTTGTAAAACAAAATTGACGTAATATATACATTTCAAAATATACTAAAATATGAACACTTTGATTACCTTCAAGTTGTTGTTCAATTTTAACAAAA